TTGTAATTGTCTAGTTTATTGATAAGAATATCATGCGAGACCGTATCAAAAGCCTTACTAAAGTCTAGGTATACCACATCTACCGCTTCTCCCTTATCCACAAGACTCGTTATCCTATCAAAGAAAGCTATCAGATTGGTTTGACATGATTTGTTCTTTACAAATACATGCTGGCTGTTCCCTATCACCTTACCACCTTCCAAGTGTTTACAGATGATTTCCTTAATTACTTGCTCCATTATCTTCCCTGGAACAGAAGTTAAACTAACTGGTCTGTAGTTTCCTGGGTTGTTCTTATTTCCCTTTTTATAGATGGGCACTATATTTGCCCTTTTCCAGTCTTCTGGAATCTCTCCTGTCTCCCATGATTTTCCAAAGATGATAGCTAGAGGCTCAGATACCTCCACTATCAGCTCCTTGAGTATTCTAGGATGCATTAATCAGGCCCTGGTGACTTGCAGGCATCTAACTTTTCTAAGTGATTTTTAACTTTTTTTTTTTAATTTTATCTTCTAAACCTACTCTCTTCCCACTAGCCTTCATCAGACTTCTCGGTGAAAACCGAAACAAACAAGTAATTAATCATCAATTCCATTTCCAAGTTTCCTGTTACTGTTTCTCCCTCTTCACTGAGCAGCGGGGCCTACCCTATCCTTGGTCTTCCTCTGGCTTCTAATGTATTTATAAAAAGTCTTCTTGTTTCCCTTTATTCCTGTAGCTAGTCTGAGCTCATTTTGTGCCTTTCCCTTTCTAATCTTGCCCCTGCATTCCTGTTTTGTTTGCCTATATTCATCCTTCATAATCTGTCCTCGTTTCCATTTTTTATAGGACTCCTTTTTTATTTTTAAAAAGGGAGTCATTGTGGATAGCTCTCTGAAGACGTCCACGCAGTGTGCAGCAGCAGTTAAAGTCAACAGGATGTTAGGAATCATTAAAAAAGGGACAGAGAATAAGATGAAGAATATCTTATTGCCCTTATATAAATCCATGGTATGCCCACATCTTGAATACTGCATACAGATGTGATCTCTGCATCTCAGAAAAGATATACTGGCTTTAGAAAAGGTTCAGAGAAGGGCAACTAAAATGATTAGGGGTTTGGAATGGGTCCCATATGAAGAGAGATTAAAGAGACTGAGGCTTTTCAGCTTGGAAAAGAGGAGAGTAAGGGAGGGGGGAGAGATATGATAGAGGTATATAAAATCATGAGTTGTGTGGAGAAAGTGAATAAGGAAAAGTTATTTATTTGCCCCCATAATATAAGAACTACAGGATACCAAATTAAACTAATGGGCAGCAGGTTTAGAACAAATAAAATGAAGTTCTTCACACAACACATAGTCAATCTGTGGAACTCCTTGCCTGAAGAGGTTGTGAAGGCTAGGACTATAACAGGGTTTAAAAGAGAACTAGATAAATTCATGGAGGTTAAGCCCATTAATGGCCATTAGCCAGTATGGATAAGGAATGGTGTTCCTAGCTTCTGTTTGTCAGGGGGTGGAGATGGATGGCAGGAGAGAGATCACTTGGTCATGACCTGTTCAATTCACTCCCTCTGGGATACCTGGCATTGGCTACTATCAGCAAACAGTGTACTGGGCTGGATGAACCTTTGGTCTGACCCAGTATGTCCATTCTTATGTTCTTAAGGTATAGCTACCATATGTGGTGCAACAAAATGAAGAGTCAGTAAGTAGACCCACTGAAAGTGCCTTCTTCCTTCCCCTCATTACACTGTTCCCCTCAGTTCACCTATCTGGAAAATAAGTTCCCCAGGTGCTTCATCTCTGTGGATACTGAACTCTGAACATTCAGTTATCCATCAGCACTAAAGTTTTACTGAACTTTAAAAAAAAAAGAGTCAGTAAGGGTCACAGGCCATAGTAGTGCAGTCTGATAGCTACTCTTAATGGGGGAGGGGGGAGAATCCTCAAAACAGAACCAGTGGAAGAGATGCAAAATACTGAAACACAGATGACCCATGTCACCTGGACAGCAACAGCATCATCCACAACTCCCTTAAGGAAACAATGTTGCTATCTGTCTTATCACCAACTTGCATATTTTGCTGAAATAATGTCTCAGTCATATCAAGTAATCAAGTTGCCACTGAAGAGTTAATTCTAAGCACTACCAATATCACAGTCATTGCATATTCCAACACAAGCCCATTATTAAGACCTATTTTTTTAAAAAAAGGCCTGAAACTCTGTTAAAGCATTTTAGTACTATGACGTTATAGTGCAATTCCACTTCAATTGGTGAAAAGCTCAACCCCTGAGCTTTTCTGATTAAAATTCAACCTCGACCATGTCTGGTCTCCACAATAGAGCTAATTACACACTGACAATTAGCCAGACTTCTTCACCGCTGGTGATTACATTTAGATCAGAGCAGTCTTACCTATAAATCAAAACTGCCACCCTGTGTAACCAAGGCAAACAGGGTGCTTGAAAGTGAAATGTGACATTTGAAACCCTTCTCAATGTCACTTTGCCTCTCAACGGACAAGGACATAGTACCTTGAAAACAGGAAGCGTCTGTTTCAATGACTCTGTTAAAGCTATTGAAACGACCAAAGCAAAAGAGCTCCATGAACAGCTGCCTTTTTGAACTATGGGGCCCATGCAGTCACTCCACCACCTCCCCAAGGCCCTCGCTGGGCTAGGAACGGCAGTGCCATGGAAGCATGTCTTGGAAAAGGCCTTTTCTTTAGCCATTCACGGGGGAGGGAGAGCGGCATTTTGGGGCCCAGGATGCAAGGGACTCCGGCGTGGGCGGCCCATTGCAAGCCTTGGGCCATGCCGGCAGCGGGGAGGGAGGCCGGGGCAGGCTCCGGCGAGCACTTACCCAGCACATCGGCCGAGCGGTGCCTGGCCACGAAGCAGGCGTCATCCCCGTAGCACATGCCTTTCTTGAGGATGCCTTTGCGGAAGTCTTTGCCGAAGCCGCAGCTGGCGGTCACCAGGCTGTAATCGCGGGAGTCCGTCTGCGAGAGGCCGCC